AGGTGTACTTCGCGAAGCTCGCCGAGCAGGCGGAGCGCTACGACGAGATGGCGTCTCACATGGAGGCAGTGGGGAAATCGGGTGACGAGCTGTCCGTTGAGGAGCGCAATCTCCTGTCCGTGGCCTACAAGAACGCCGTGGGCTCGCGCCGTGCCGCGTGGCGTATCATCACCAGCGTGGAGCAGAAGGAGACCAGCAAGGGCAACGAGGAGAACGCAAAATTCGCGAAGGAGTATTGCAAGAAGGTGGAATCCGAACTGGATGAGATTTGTAAGAAGATCCTTGCTGTCTTGGACAACAGTCTCATCGGAAAGGCAACCACAGGCGAGTCGAAGGTCTTCTACCAGAAGATGAAGGCCGACTACTACCGCTACATTGCCGAATACACTAGTGGCGATGACAAGACGAAGGCTGCGAATGACGCGAAGAGTGCCTACGAGGAGGCGCAAGCGATTGCCACCAAGGACTTGGCAGTGACGCACCCGATCCGCCTCGGCCTTGCTCTGAACTTCTCAGTGTTTCAGTACGAGGTGTTGGCGAACCCAGACGAGGCCTGCAAGATGGCTCGCACTGCGTTCGAGGACGCGATCGCCGAGCTCGACAACGTCGCAGAGGACTCGTACAAGGATTCCACCCTCATCATGCAGCTGCTCCGCGACAACCTGACGCTCTGGACTTCGGACCAGGAGGGCGAGCCCTGAGGAGGGCACAGAAGCCACGCGCGGAGTCCTCGTTGGCTGGCGGAAGAGCGAGTTCAGCTCGCCGGCGAAGTTTGCCCAAGGAAGGGCGGCGAGCGCGGGTCTGTTTCGCCCAGCGCTCTCAATATTTCGTCTGGGCGGGGGATCATGAAGGAAACAAGATCGAGAATCGAAAAGGAGGATCGAAGAAGGAGAGAAGGTTGACGAGCGAGGACCGATGGGGAGGAGGAGGGTCGAAGAACAGGAGGAGGAGGAGGAGGAGGAGGAGGAGGAGGAGGAGGAGGAGGAGGAGGATCTATGATCGAGGAGAGAACCGGGGAGGAGGAGGATGAGGAGGATGAGGAGGAGGAGGACCAGTGTAAACCCAAGACGTATCAACGATATTGTAATAAACCTTCCCTCCAAGTTCCCCCTCCCTAGGCTCCTACACGGATTCATTCTCACTGAAGGAAATGCCCCGCTGGAAGACAACCGTTTGAAACTCCGGAAGTGTGCCAGAACGCCGTCTCTGGGGCTTCAACGCCGCGAGTCACCTTGACTTGACGATCCAGAAGCGTGCCAGAACACAATTTCTGGGACTGCAACACCGCGAATCAACGTGACTGTTGCGCCCTGACATGCCGACATCATGCCAACACAATATTTCTGGGACGTTAACCATGAGAGTCTTTGAAAGTGCTGAAAGCTCTTAAGACGAATGTGCGCGGCGCGAAGGCGAGAACAACATTTGAAAAGGAACTGCCCTCCATTCGTGAAGATCTTGCAGACACTTAAGACGAGTGTGCGCGGAGCTAAGGCGAGAGCCACATTTAGAAATGGAACCGCCCTCCATCCGTGAAGCTCTTGCCAATTTTCGAGACGAGTGTGCGCGGCGCTAAGGCGAGAGCCACATTTAGAAAAAGAGCCGCCCTCCATCCGTGAAGCTGTTGTAAACTTTCGAGACGAGTGTGCGCGGCGCGAAGGCGAGAGCCGCATTTTGAAAGCCACCCGCCCTCCATCCGCGAATTTCTTGCAAATTTTGAAGACGAATGTGCGCGGCGCGAGAGCTACTACATTTTGAAAACGGACCGCCCTCCATCCGTGAAACTGTTGCAATGTCAAGCTTCAGGATCATAAGTTGTGAAGAAGTCTCAGGCGAAACGCCAGGCCCGCCCTTTCGACCAGCCTCGGGGTGCGACAGGGAGGAGCTACCTATAAAGAAAAGGAATGATGGAGGTGGGGGAGGAGGAGGTGGGGGAGGAGGAGGAGGAGGATGAGGACGAGGACGAGGAGGAGGAGGATCGAAGGTGGAGGAGCATCGGGGCTCGAGAAGAAGCGAGGAGGATTCTGGGATGGAGAATCACAGATCAAGGAGGAGGGTCGAGGAGGGCGGTGCCGAGGTTCGAGGATGAAAGGGATGAGGTGCGATGATTAGGATCTAGGACAGAGGCGATAGACAAGGATAATGAGGAGGTTCCCCATGGTTCCGCCTCCCTCTCAACTCCTCACCCCTCCCCACTCCTTCCATTCCACTCCGCTTCACTCCGCTCCACCCGCCTCTTGTTGTCTTCTTCGTAATCCTCTTCACTTCTCCTTCCTGTTCCAGCGTCTGCTTCTTCCCAATGGTCTCATCTCTTCTACAGTCAGCTCCACTCTTCTTCCATTCTGTTCCAAACTCCTCCCCAATCCTCGCCCTCCTCATGTGTTCTGGCCCACGATTATCATTTATTTCACGCGTCAGTGCTGCACTCTCCTACCTTTATCCTCCGCACTCCACCTCACTCCTGCCTCATCCTCCGCACTCTTCCCTACTCACCGTCCTGCCCACGCTCACCCCGTCTTCCACAATCCATTCCATCCTTCAGCATTCCACTTTTACTCATTGCTATTACTCCCTGCTTCTTCTTTTCCTGCTGCTCCTTCCCCCTCTCTCGCCCATTCTACGCCCTTCCTCGTCGCTTTCTTGATTCCGCTCTCTATGCAATGCTGCTCCTGTTGTTCCTGCTCCTGCGGTTCCTGCTCCTGCTGTTCCTTTATTCTTCCTGCACACTCCTTCCCCTTCCTCCGCAAACCATCCCACTTTTTGCATTCCACTCCGTGGTGCCGGACACCAGACGCCAGGCCTTGGGCCCCAGTCCCCAGGTCCCGGGCCCCAGACACCTGTCGCTGGACGCTGGACCCCCAGCCTGGGCCCCAGGCCCCAGGCCCCGGACACCAGACACTGGACGCCACGGCTCGAGACCCCCAGCCCCGGGCCCCAGACCCTGGACGCTGGACGCCTGACCCGGGCCCCAGGCGACAAAAAGACCTTACTACCGCCTCCTCCGCTTCCTTCTCCTCTTCCTCTCCCCCTCCCCACAAATCACACCTCCCTCCCCGTGCAAGCCTTCCACACCTCTCTCCTCGTGTCAGCCTCCTCCTCATGCAAGCCTTCCCTCTACCACGGTGTTCCCCCTTGGGAGGCTGCGTCCCCCTTCCAGGGAAGCCCTGTCGGCGGTGATGGGCCATGCGGATGCCGTGCTATTTATGAGGGCTCGTGCCCTCCCCATCTTTCCAGCCTTCTCCCTCCTTGGAGTCCTCGTGCGAGCCTTCTCTCTATACCACGGTTCTCGGCCACGCGCAGGGGGGGGTAGGGGGAGGGGGGAAGGCTTCTTAGAAGGTTGCTTCTGCTTAGAAGGCGCCGGCCTCACATCTACAGACAAGGCCCGCGCCTTCCAAGAAACAGGGGTGCTTCTAAGAGGCCTTCCCCCCTCCCCCCCCCCGCGCGCCGCCAAGGTTCCCCCCTCCTGGGAGGCTGTCTCCCCCTCCCGGGAGGCCGTGTCGGGGCGGGCGGGGGCTGTGCGGATGCCGGGTTACCTCTCAGGGCTCGGGCGCTTTCCTGGGGAGTCTGCGGTCCCTCGGGGCCGCGGAGTGAGAAAAGAGTCCGTCGCAGGTCTGGTGATGATGGCACTCTTCCCGCCCCCTCGGCCTCTTGGCAGCTGTAGGGGCTGCATGCGTCGAGCCTCAACGTCCACAGAACGCGCGATGGCGTACCTGCATCTGCCACGCGACCTGCGATGCAGTCATTGGCTGCCAGGCGCGGCAGCCGCAGTGTCAGACAGGCAGACTGTGCTGAGCTTTCTCCTGTTATCGCATTTCGGTATATCGGATTCCGCCTTATCCTCCTCCTCGTTCTCTTTCCTCGTTCCTTCCCCTGCTCTTCCCCTTATTCCCCCTTCTCCCCTATGCCCCCTTATTCCTCTTCCCCCTTCTCCGCTTCTCCCCTTCGCTTCGGATTCGCTTCCCTTCTTCCCTTCTCGCTTCTCCTCCCCATCTCTCCTTCTCCCGCACCCTGGCGCTTTCCTCATCCTCCTCCCTCCTCCTCCTCCTCCTCCTCCTCCTTCTCCCCTAGCAATTTATGAATACTACTCTCCCTCCTTTCTCGAAGTTTTCCAGAAGATCTCCCGCTCCCTCTGCGTGCTGTTTCTTTACACCGGATTTCAATACTTGATTTCCTGATGGTCTTTTACAGTCGAATTGTCTTCGGTGTTTCAACATGGTACTCCCGCTGCAGCATGGGTCTCATTTTCGGATTCGCGCGCTGCTCCCGTCGTTCAGAATGGCGCTCTCACCCTAGCGCGGGCAACTTTTTGTGGATCCGAGTCTTGCTTCATCGTGGTCCCCCCTCATTTCACCTCCTCCGCCTTTCCTGGTCCTCCTGTTCCTCCCGCTCCTTCCACTGCAGTTCTGCTGCGGCTGTTCGTCTCGCTCCAGCGCGGGCCACTTTTCTGAAACCGAGTCTTCATTCATCGTTGTCGCCCCCCTCATTCCCCTCCTCCGCCTTCCCCTGGTCCTCGTTTCCCTCCCGATCTTTCCGCTTTGGTTCCTGCTGCTGCTGTTCGTCCTCATTCTTTTCCTCCCGCTCATCCTCCTGCTCAACCGCCACTTCCTTCTCCTGTGCACTCGCTTTTTCCGATTGCGCATATCACGAAGTAGTCTTTCTGTGTGAGTCGCAGGTCGGTATGACAGGCGTTCGCGAATATAGGGAAAATCAGCGCCATGGGAAGGGATGTGAGGGAGGGATCGGATGTCAGATGAGGCGCGAGCACACTTAGGTTGTTCTCCTTCCCTCTCCTCCCCCTACAGTCCACCCTCATCGTCCTTTCGCCTTTCTCGTCGTCTTCCTTTTCCCCCCCACCAAGTACCTTTCTTCGGCAGGCCACTGGGCACGCACACCCGAACCAAGTACCTCCGTCTCCTCCCCATCCGTGCCCTTCCCTATCCTGCCTCCGCCCCTCTCCTCTTCGTCGTGGTCCTCCTCCTCCTCCCCTGCTCTGCACGCAGGAGGCGTCCGCCTACAAGAAGCTCAAGAAGGCCCGCACCGACCTCAAGTACGACGGCGCCAAGCGCAAGAAGGCCAACGCAGGCGCCTGGGGCCAAGACTGAGGCAGGGGGGGGGAGGAGGGTTGGGGGAGGAGATGGAGGTAGAGATAGGAGGTGGGAACAGGGATGGATGGGGGGGGGGGGGAGGGAGGGATGAAAAGGGGGCGGGGGGATGGGTGGGGAGGGGGGAGGGATATAAGGAGGGAGACATGGAGGGAGATACGGAAGGGCAGGCGGAGGTCGGGTTGAGGTGGGGTTTGGGAGGGGTGATGGTGCTGATAGTGATGGTGATACAACCGATGATTCTACGACTATGATGCCGATGCTGATGCTGATGCTGCTGCTGACGACGACGATGACGGTGACGGTGACGGTGACGGTGGTGACGGTGGTGGTGCTGTTGAGGAGGACGATTCGTACGAGGGAGATTCGTATCCTGCTGATGCTGGCGCTGATGCGGATGCTGATGCTGATGGTGATGCGGATGACGATACTGATGTTGACGATGGTGCTGATGATAATGCTGATGATGACACTGATGATCATGCTGATGATGACGATGGTG